ACATCAACAGACAGAAACAGATACAGAGATGGTTTTCGGGACTCGGGAGGGTTGGAGAATCAGTCTGTACAGGAATTGGAAAGTTATGCTGTATACAAGGCTGAAGAGACTACAAAAGCAGTTAATGGTTGTCTGAAGATTGCTGAAGAAATGAGAGAAGATGCAACTAAAACTTTGATCAATTTACACCAGCAGGGTGAGCAAATTACTAGAACTCACATGGTTGCTGCCGAAATTGACACAGATCTTAGCAGGGTATGTATTCCTAGCTCAAGAAATCCTATTATTTTAATGTGTACAGACTATTTATTTATAAATTAATTTGCTCTGGTCTATCATTCAAAGTTCAGACTTAAAGATGCTAAAAGTAATTGCAACCTTTTTTCAGTCGTATATTGACCATTTCCTGCCAGGCTACCTCTAAAGGGCATCCTCCTTCACATTTCAGATCCAGAATGACAATAGAGAATATTAACGCCCTCTCCTAATATTTTATATGCATGTCGGAATAATCCATGATGGATGATAGATTTAGAATTTTCATCTAATTATTCCCTCCTGAGATTGTGAAAGGAGGGCATCCGACATTCTAGCAAGTAATTCATATAATTAAATTAGCAGTTTATCACTACAAATTTAATGCCACTGACCCAACTCGTTGGTGTTAAGGTGATGATAATAATGACCAATTATCTAATTGACATTTACTGAACAGTTAATCATGCTTGCTGGATCTTACTTATGTATATAATCATTCTCAAGGTCTGCATATATACCATCTTTAAGCATGTTTCTTTGACGTTTTCCTCAGATGAAATGTTCAATGTTTGTTTGATAGGGTAATGCTTTGCTTCTGGAATGCAGTTCTTAGTTCTTACTATTGATAGCTGACTTCAGTAAATTTGAAATTAATTCAGGGTGAAAAACTTTTGGGAAGTCTTGGGGGCTTATTTTCCAAAACATGGAAACCTAAGAAGAATCGCCCAATAACCGGCCCTATTATCACACGAGGTTAGTTCTTTCTAATCTCCTTCATAAAAGCATGATGGGATCGATTAAATAAATGATTGCTTCTTTTGGGATGTCGAAGTAGGTTGCTGATTAGTCTTTTGTGGTGTTGCAGATGATGTAGTACAGAGAAAAGGTAATCACTTGGAGCAGAGGGAAAAACTGGGGTTGAATTCTGCTCCCAAAGGTCACTCAAACACACAAAGATCCCTTCCTGAACCAACTAATGCATTGCAAAAAGTCGAAGTAAAGCTTTTTTTTACTTAGGGATTTTTCTTGTTATGTATATTATTATTGTTAATGTTCTCATTATTACTATATTCTTTTATTGATCCGAGAACTTCAGATTTTGTTTATGACCACATCCGTAATTTGTTGAGTAATGCTAGGTGGTCATTACATTGGTACATTCTAGAAAGACTCTTATGTGGCAAATTTCATTGGACAATCATCACGTGTCTAACTTTTCACCATCAATGAATGTGTCACATGTCTAATATTCCCCTTAGAATGTATGAATTTAATGTTCTCTTTGGATTATTATCTCTGGCCGTATTTTTACTAGAGAGTTGATTGAAACAGAAGGACAATTTTAGACCTCTAGCCAAAATATTTTTCTTAGATATTGTCATGATTGCTCACACACCATGCACTTCCTTTTCCTTTTCTTTTTTGGTCCTATCATACCATGTCTTACAGAAGCTCTCAAGTACTAAGAAGCACGAAAACATCACAGAGCTCATGTTTTGCCATTTCACAAGTTCAAAAACTTCAAGTTATATTTTCTGCCCCGTTTCCATAATTGAAATATTGAGAAACCTGTCTCCTTAATTAATTAGCATTTTGGAAATGTCAGGTTTTAACGTTTTCTTCATTTTGATGGGATTTCTTGATGAAAATCAGTGTTTTTTGTGGGATTATGGATGAGAGTTAGTGAATAAAGAACAGCTCTAGGAACATTTCCATAAATAAAGGAGTGCTTTACAAACAGATCACCTATAGCAGAAAGCTTGTCTAAATGGTGTTTTTGTACAGGTTATAGATATATGCAGATGCGAAAAAAGCAGTTAATCTGATTCTTGTAGTGGGTTTTGAGCAGGTGGAAAAGGCAAAGCAAGATGATGCACTCTCTGATCTAAGTAATCTCTTGGGGGAGCTCAAGGAAATGGCCATTGACATGGGATCTGAAATTGAAAGGTATGCTCAAGTTTGAATGTCCTTCAAAAAAAGCATTTCCCGAGTCTCAAACATATAGTCCTTAAGTGTGCTCAACTGAACATGAGAAATGTTCATTTACAATGCTTGCAGGGGGAATAAAGCCTTGGACCATCTTCAGGATGATGTTGATGAGCTGAACTACAGAGTAAAGGGTGCCAATCTACGTAGCCGCCGTTTGCTTGGGAAGTAGTGATATTGTTCTGCAACCAACCAGATACCACCCACTCCCATCTTCTAAATCACATCATCATGGTCTTTAGGCAATAATAATAAATGGTGATTCTTTCTTATGGTATTGGTATGCCTGATTTCTTGACGGCCACATTGTTGTTATGCATAGGATCTCTTACAACTGAGTGGGGTACTAACGTTTCATTCATTCAACTACCGAAGTTACTGTAATGCTACCATTTGGACACTGTTTTCTAGTATATTAATAATTTGCATACACCTTTGTTGTACACTTGATAAATTTATTTTAGAGATTTCGCCTCAAAGTTCTCGTGTAATTACAGATTTACAAATTGAATCCTTGTCAAATTGCTTCTTTTTCTTTTAATTCAGGTTTGAATTATCAATGAATTGGAATCTGTATGCTTCATTTCTTAGTTCTGTGTTCAGCAAACTATCAGAAGTACGACGTATGAGGGAGGTGTATATATTTCTAAAATTCCAATGCATATGTACAGGCCTTATAAGGTTAACCCCATACTGAAGACATGTGATAGACATATATTCTAACCTCTGTAGAAGGCAAGCAATTAGAGAATCAAAGAAGGCAAATCAAATAATTAATCAAAAGATTGAACTAAGGCAGACTTATATGAATAATGAATGGAGGAGTCTAAATAAATCATGATATGAGGAATAATTGATTTTTTTTATTTATCCTTTGCTAGTTCACATTTTTGTATTAGGCAATAAAATGAAGGTCTTCATTTGAGGGGTCGGACACCGTTATTTTGGGGGATATCTTCAGCTTTGTGGAGGGGCCAAGAACATCTTGCAGGAGGCTGATTCCTAGGGGCTCTCGGGATGGTTTCCTACTTTCCTCTTAACACTTTTGTTCTATCTTGGAAAAAGTGTCAAATAGGCCTTCCTACTCCTATCAAAATGTCATTTAAGGGCATCAACCCACATACCACTCAATTAGACCCATAAACCAAATAAAAAAATCAAAGTGACTTTTTAGCAGGTAACATTCAGGTTCTAAGTAAAGATATATGATGTGACATTCAATTTTTGTACCTTTTCCTTTTCTTTTTCTATTTGTTTTCCTTTTCTTTCTCTCTTTCTTCCCCACCCCTTTTCTTCTCCCACACTCCCCCCTCTCCCTTGTCCTGCGCCTTTCTTTCTTCCTTTCCCTTATTTATCTTTCTTTCTTTTTTTCCTTCTTTATTTTGCAATCACCAGTCAGATCCGTGAGCCAGTCTTCTTCTCCGGCAAAGATATAGAAGTTGGGTCGAGCGATGGTCGTCTTCTCCGGCCAATTTTTGGCAAAGAGAGCGCCGCACCGAACTTTGTCATCCTCTCTTACAAACGTTCTGTCTCATGAAATGTCGATCTTCTCCATCAATTTATTATTTTATTCATTGTTCTTATTTTCCTTGTTTATCCATGGATTGAATGGTATGTCAAAATTCAAAAATCAAAGAAAAGTGAGAAACAGGTAGCTTGAGGGTGTGATTAAGCCAAAGTAGGAGAGATTAAGAATGAAAGCAAAAGAAAATAAGAAACATGCCATGTGTTGCCATGTGTGAATGACCGGTTCATAACCTAATAAAAAACAAATTTGACCATTTTTACAACTTCACAAGCTTAATTGGGTGATATTTGAGATTGTGGAATTAATTGAAATTTTCATAATAGTAGAGGGGCTTATTTGACATTTTTCTCTTCTATCTTTATTAATTTATTATTGCCTCTTTGCTCTCTCTTTGTTCTCATCATATAAAATGTTTTAGTTTAAAAATTGATTTAACTTTCTAAATTATAATATGATTTTAACAAAATTTATATCAAATTAAATATTTTTATTATCTTTCAAATGACAGTACGACACCAATATGTCATATATAACTTTGTTTTAAAAATAACTATAATATGTATGCAATAAACCACAACAAACATTTTCTGCTACGCATACACAAGAATATGTATCTGACACGCAATCACTAATATCTAACACACAAACCAGTATTTAACACACAATACGTATAAAAGAAACTAAAACAAGTATCTTAAACACAAAATCCAATATCTAATACACAAAGAGCAATATCTGACACACAACAATTAAAAACTACTCCACACAACAAGAATTTCACACAACTTAAACTAATACTATCGTATATAACAAACAAGAATCAATATCACACACAACAACAAATATTGCACATGAACCGATCATCTTACTCTTAGTTAGGATATAACACACTACAATTGATATTTGACACGCATTGAATGATTAGAAAAATTACAATTTAATGCACAAGTTATTAATAGCATTGATTTGATACACTAAAAATACAATCAATTGAAATACACAATATCTAGTATCTAATGAATAAAAAATGAAAGATGTTGAGAAATATAAACAAAAACATGGCTAATTAAATACTTGTAATATAGTGCAAACTAAAAAAGATATTGATAAATATGAGGAGAAGGCTCAAAAAGAACATTAAGGCTATTTACCAATCTCAAATTAAACATTTAGCTTTTAAATGGACCAAATAAACACACAATCCACTTCTTTTGATAATATTAGCCCACCCACTAACCCATTTCATTTTAACGGTGCTCCAGTGTTAACACATTTCAATCTAAAGCATGTCATCTTCTTCTAATTTCTCCTTTTCAACTTAGGGGGGCGTTTGGAGGCCTGATTTTGGGCTGAAAAGCCTGAAAGTACAAAAATAAAGCCAAACACATGCCAAGTGGGCTGTTTGGGCTGTTTTTTCTTATCAGCCAGAAAAGGAACCATGGAGTTACTTTTTCGGCTGAAAGTTATTAATATATCCGTTGCCCACCCAAAGTACTGGTTTACCCTTTTATTATCGCATCTGCTTGGCCCAGCGACGAGAACATCTTCCCCGGCTTCGCATACTTTGGTCCAGGTCGATGACTTCCTGCTCAACTGCGCCATATTGGATTCTCCATATTGATCTAAAGGTAAGTGACCTGGCCTCTATCTTCTTCTTCTTCAATTGTTGCGGCCCTCAGGCCTCAATTCTTGCTCGACTGTGAAGGAGGGAACTGTTTTTTTTTTTTTTTCGTGTTCAGAATCATAACCACAGACATTGCAATCTGGATTTTTTTTAGATAATTGACTCTGCTGCGCATCCCCTTTGACTCCTGCACTCAGAGGATACTGATTTATTAAATTACTTTGAATTTAATTATCAGGTTTTATAGTTTCAGTAATTTCGTGCTTAAAGACAAGGTGTCTGATGCTTGGTGAATGGTGATGGAAGTTATTTAAATTCTCTTTGATCAAGGTGTCTACTGTTACTGCCTAGGAGAAGAATGGTTGCAGAGTACTTATTTAATGGATAAGATCGGTTGTGTTAGCTTGAGAAGATATATCTCCCTGATTTGATAACTTTTTTTTTTATAGATGATGATCACCTTGTTAAGTTCATAGAAATGCTTTAAAGTTAAAACACACCCTGAAGTAGATAATGTAATATAGTTATATACGGAGTAGGTATTAAGATCATGTTTATCACTCTTCAAAAGTGCACACCTTTTAACACAAATAAGCAAATACCCTTAATGGTAATTTTACCTTCAATCAGCCATTTCAGCCAACATATTACCAAACACTTTCACCCCAATAGATTTAGTCTATTCAGGCTTTTCAGCCCTTTCAGCCGATCCAGCTGATTCCAAACGGGCCTGAATAGAAAGCTGCAGAGTAGTTCCACGCCTCGCTGCCTCGGAAAAGTTATGCCACCATCAGTAAAGTAATTGAATAGAGCTTCAAAATCCACCGCACCTACCGCTGGTGAAAGGTGTTTTCAACCTGTGCACGAGCTATCAATGAGCTCGGCCTAGGATTCACTTCCTATTCCAACAGTTGTGATGGCCGTAAGCAAGGATTTGGTTCATATTCTAGACATGTCAATAGCTATTGGAGCAATCTGGAATTGTAATTATCTTGTTTGTAGCTTTAAATTAGATGGGATAAAGGATCTATTAACGTTGTTAGAATAGTCCCTTAAATATGTCGGTGGGTGGCTAAATGTAACTCAAATAAGTGATTTATGTGTTGATTTGGTCCATTTAAAAGATTAATGTCCAATTCGAGCTTCTTAGATAACATTGGTGTCCTTTTTGAGCCTTCTCCCATAAATATATGATATATACTAATAATATTGAAAAGGTAAGTGGAAGTAAATAACCATAGTGGAAATTACCCGAAGAGTCTACTTTAATATGCCCTATATCATTTATATCCCACCAACGTTATCTTTTCATTTTTAACTTTTAAATTTTCAATTTCATTTTCTTATTTCACTTGTAGCCAATTTTCCCTGCCTAGAACTAAGCAGGGATTTCCGATCGTCAAAAATTCAGGAAGGTCCGTCGGAGCGAACACAAAGAGTTGTGAGCGACATCCGGTCTGGAGGAGCTCGAGCGACACCAACCTGCGGAGGAGCTGGTTCGATCTTCCATATTTCTTCTTCCGCTCACTCTTCGCTCGCGCATCTCCTCTGTGGCTATGTGAAGCATCGACGCCAACTCGCCGGTCGCTTGATAACTTCGTCGGATAGTCGCACAGCTCCGCTCCTAGCAGACGAACGAATTCCTCCAACCCTCCTTAATTCGTTTGTCATCTCCACATCCGGCTTAATTTCTAACCTTGTAAGTTTCTAACCTAATTTTTTCAAAGTTAATCTCAAATTTATACTGTCAATTTGTAAACTTGTAATTCCAAAGCCTGGAGTTGGTTAGGCTAGGTTTACTTGTTTGTTTTGTTCACTCATGAATACGATTTGGTGCTTAGAACCTTCAAAGAATTGAATGACATTTGACGTGTTTGATTTTATTAATCTGATTCACGGAAACTATGAATTTATGTTAACTTCATTTTGATATGCTAGATATTAATGAATGTGGCCGATTTCATATGTATGTAAATATGATTAGTTATGAGGGGCCAACTCCATCGCCAGTAAGGCACCACCATGAATTTCACATTCAGAGAAAAAGTGAATTAGCGGGTCACAACTATATCAAGCACCAGTTCATTGAGAGCGTCTTAATGAAGTGTCTCCGGCACAACAGGACAATCCAGGGGGGACGTTTTGAACTAAATAATAATAATAATAATAATAATAATAATAATAATAATAATAATAATAATAATAATAATAATAATAATAATAATAATAATAATAATAATAATAATAATAATAATAATAATAATAATAATAATAATAATAATAATAATAATAATAATAATAATAATAATAATAATAATAATAATAATAATAATAATAATAATAATAATAATAATAATAATAATAATAATAATAATAATAATAATAATAATAATAATAATAATAATAATAATAATAATAATAATAATAATAATAATAATAATAATAATAATAATAATAATAATAATAATAATAATAATAATAATAATAATAATAATAATAATAATAATAATAATAATAATAATAATAATAATAATAATAATAATAATAATAATAATAATAATAATAATAATAATAATAATAATAATAATAATAATAATAATAATAATAATAATAATAATAATAATAATAATAATAATAATAATAATAATAATAATAATAATAATAATAATAATAATAATAATAATAATAATAATAATAATAATAATAATAATAATAATAATAATAATAATAATAATAATAATAATAATAATAATAATAATAATAATAATAATAATAATAATAATAATAATAATAATAATAATAATAATAATAATAATAATAATAATAATAATAATAATAATAATAATAATAATAATAATAATAATAATAATAATAATAATAATAATAATAATAATAATAATAATAATAATAATAATAATAATAATAATAATAATAATAATAATGATGATGGATTATATGGACTCCGACCCCCTGGCATGCCGACTACTAGGCCTGGACAGCGGCCCACACACGTTTAGCGGATATCATTAATATTATTGTACATTATTATTATTATTCAGATGTTCTAGATTAGCTTTTTATACTATCAGTCCATTTATGTAACCGGGTCTGCCAGGCCCATATTAGAGGCCCAGACCCGGATTTTCCCTATATATACTCCTTATAGGAGGCTTGTAACTCATATAACCAATACTCATTCTATACACATTTCCTTCTTTTTCATCATTTCTTCTACACTCTTGTTCAATTTCTCCTGTTTATACAATATGGGTATCAATTATCCAACAATGGTGCTCTCGTTGAGAGGTTGAACACAATCAAGTGAGAAAACCTCCCCAAAAAACCAAAAATTCATCCAAAAAACAATCTGGAATTTCAAAAAACAATCCGCAACTGTCTAGATGTGATACAGTTTTCGCCAGACGTGAACTGGCTGGTCAGCTGGAGCAGTTCAAAGTCAAAGGGAGGACCAGATCCGACGTTGGTCCGACAACCAGGAGCTCCGGCGAAGCACGGCCCCCCAATCCCCAGTGTTGATGCCTCGTTAGCTCTTACTCGTTCACCCAACTCCGTCTCAACGCCACTAGGCCCACCAGTCCCTGGCTTCAGCTCCTGGCAGCACCGGCCCAACGGAGAAGCTACCAAACCGCGATACCTGTTCGGATCCATGGAGCTCCTCACCTGAGTCGCAGCACCACCGCTGGTCACTCGTCGGTGGCGGGTAATGAAAATTCGCTCCACTTCATGCTATTCGCTCCCGTCACGGTCCGGCCAAATGCAGCTCAAGCTGCAAGAAACTATTCTGGAAAAATAAAAAAAAAGGATACAACAAGAACAGATCGGAAATTTGGGATTTCGCAGACACAACCGGAGAACCATCGCCCAGCAGCGGCGTCCCAGGTCATGTAGGCTAACTTCTGGTCTAGCACCCCTGCCGCCGGCAGGCCACCACGAGCCACCTGCTATAGTTTCAGGCGGGGATCTGCAACTCCTACAGGCTACATCCGGAAATGTCAAGGACAAGAAGAAATCTGAAAACTCAAGATCTGGGTCGCCTTCCACCGTCAACTCCACCGCCGTGCGCCGTCTACCATCCGCTTATGCACCTGGTGAAGTTTGGCACGCCATACAGGGCATCGTCATCGCCGCTCTGGATCTGCGCCCTCCCAACTGTCCGCAGTGGTGTTGAAACCCATCCGCGACCTCCAGCACTCCGCTGATCTCCATAGCAGCTCGAAGGTCAGGACAGGGGCCACGTTGCCATCTCCATGGTCATTTGGCTCAGTTTCTAGATTTTGACCTCAAGTATCCACCATTAATGGCTGGCGGAACTCGAGGAACAGAAAATCGGAATTGCCCTACTCACTGTCCTACTCAATCGGAACCGCCAGGACGAGTACATCTGCGTCACCTCAGTAGCTGTTGGGCTGGTCTCCTTGACAGGTACAGTACCGGTGTGCTGGTTAAGGTCGGTCACGTTGTGGCTGTCCCCTTTGCCAAAAGTGAAAGCTGGCAAGCATTGTGCTAAGGGAGCCTAATCTGTTCGAATGCCAAATTTAAGGCAGTGGAGGGATGGTCCAAATTTGTTGGAGCAGCCCAATGGGGAATAAAGGCCCAATTTCTTTATGAGCCCACACAATCCAATATTTCAGCCCACTTCAAAAAGATAAGTGTCTTCAATTTTAATACTATTTATATTTATTTAAATCAATATTTTTTGTCGATTAAATGTCACACTTTCACGCACTTATGATCAAATGCCTAGTAGAGTGTGGATTGAGACCCATCACTAGGATTTAAAGCCCTGACCTCTTAGGCACAAAGCCCTGGCCCTGATCCAGGCACAAAGCCCTGACCTCTCAGGCACGAAGACCGGTCTTAGTCATTCCTCGAGTGGCGACCGTTGCTTATGAATGGCTCACACATCCATTCTACTAAGTATTTTATCATTACATTAACAATTCACATCTCCACTTGTTTCAAATGACGAACTCCCGATCGGGAACATAAATCCCAAGAAAAAAATTTATATGTATGATAAATGTGTAGGTACGAAGATGACTTTACTCATTTTCACCTCGTCTCCACTCGCCTCAAAGAGTGGGGACTGGGGGACTGAGGGGTCAGAATTTCTAGATGAGTAGAAAATATCACGCAAGAGCAGGAACGAGAGCTGAGTCAGTTGAAGAGGAGCTGAGCTAGATTGATTATGCCGGAGGGGATTTACCTTCCTTGTTTCATGTTGGGGGCGCTAGGTGTACTCTTTTTCCCTTTATTAGGATTTTTTCCCACTGGGTTTTTCCTAGTAAAGGTTTTTAACGAGGCACCTCCCCATAATGGACAAGGGTGGTGGTCCCCCGGCCGAAGAGGAAGAACGTTGCAGATACAGTTTGGACTACTCCCTTTCGCCTCGAGTACTCTCAACTCAGGGAGTGGGGGACTCCTGATGGATTATATGGACTCCGACCCCCCGGCATGCCGACTACTAGGCCTGGACAGCGGCCCACACACGTTTAGCGGATATCATTAATATTATTGTACATTATTATTATTATTCAGATGTTCTAGATTAGCTTTTTATACTATCAGTCCATTTATGTAACCGGGTCTGCCAGGCCCATATTAGAGGCCCAGACCCGGATTTTCCCTATATATACTCCTTATAGGAGGCTTGTAACTCATATAACCAATACTCATTCTATACACATTTCCTTCTTTTTCATCATTTCTTCTACACTCTTGTTCAATTTCTCCTGTTTATACAATATGGGTATCAATTATCCAACAAATAATAATAATAATAATAATAATAATAATAATAATAATAATAATAATAATAATAATAATAATAATAATAATAATAATAATAATAATAATAATAATAATAATAATAATAATAATAATAATAATAATAATAATAATAATAATAATAATAATAATAATAATAATAATAATAATAATAATAATAATAATAATAATAATAATAATAATAATAATAATAATAATAATAATAATAATAATAATAATAATAATAATAATAATAATAATAA